CGCTACTTACCAGACACAAATATTTTCATATTTTTCTAACCTGAACAGCTTCATCTGAGCCTCCGAGGTCTCTGGCTACAAACAAAGTGATCATTGGTCGGCTGATTTTCTGGACAGCTTGGACAATTGCAAGTGGCCACCAGAACATCAGCACTCGTAGAATACTCAAACTGCTTTCCTAAACAATCCAAGAAATATAAAACTTATTTGAGCATTTATATATGTCTTTCATGTGTAAGAGATAAGGTGAGACTATTTCTAAAACCTGTTTTGCAAACTATTTTTTTAAAGATCATCAGAGAGTGGAAAAAAAATTCAAAATAAAATTTTTTTTTTTTAAGCACATAGTTTTGCCAGAGACGGAGGAGAAAATAAAATAAAATTCTATTTGTGAATGTAAACAGCATAATAATGGGACGTTTAAATGCTTGAAGTTTATATGATTAGGAAGAAATATAAATCTTTCATTTTTAAATATCTTAATGCAGCAGTGGGCGTAATAACGTTTTTTTAAATTATTTTTTTCTGAAATTTCCAAATTTTCATGGCGGTGTGTATGTTAATTGGCAAAAAATAGAATGTTATCATTGGCGGGCGGTGGGTAAAAAAAAAGTATAAAAAAATCTTGCCTAATGGATGAACAAAAATGTAAGTTATCTTAATGCACTACAACTTGTTGGAAGATCCATTTCCTAATGTTAAGCAATAGCATACACAATATTCAATATTAATTCCCTTACGTTTGTTCGGGTTTCAGTTACGTTTGTCCTTGTCACTCTTCTGTGGATGAGAAACCCGATAAAAAGTATACTAAACCGGGTCAAGACGCCAGTGTAGACAGCGATGATTGGAACTAACACCGGTGTAGTGTTTACTATATCCGTTTGTAGTAACCCAAAAACAGTACCTATCTAAAAAACAGAATACAGTATACAGTAAATGTATTTAAAGACATATTCCTTCAGTATCTGTTTTTCCTTAATTTTGTACACAACAAACATAAATATTCTAAGATTTACCTGAACAGCAACATCTATCACAGATGCAGACCCAACTAGGGCGGTGTGTTTTAGCTGCAAAAGGTAACCTGCTACATACCATGACTAGGGAATTAAAACATTATTAAGTAAAAGTAATAAATTTGCACCATCTCCCTCAACATAAATATTAAAACAGGGTAAAGGATTTCCAAAAGGGTGGTGGCCAAAGCAGGGTT